GCTCCCTATCACAAGGAGTCCCGCAGGCAGCGCAGAGACCCTCGTCACCCCTCTTGCCCGAATCGAGGATAGTGTCTCATCTAAGTTACTCTCGAAGCTTACCCTCTACAGATAGTGTAATCCAGTCTACTCCCCGCCCCGAGTAACCTTCTTCTTCATATACAAACTCAACTGATCAACGCCATTAACAAAAAACCATCTCTTCTCATCATGATGCCAAACCAGCACGCCCAAGCTCTCAGCATACTCCTTCAAATCCCGATATTCGTCCCAGCTTTTGAAATCGCGCATCAGAAACCCGGGCGTCGTCTCGACGCGCTCGCCCTCGTACTCCCACAATCGGATCTGGTCCATGACGGTGGGCGGGAGAAACGGCTGGTGCTTTTGCATCTGCGGGTGGGCGTGCGAGGTCAGGTAGGACAGGATTTGCGAAGAGGATATGCCGAGCTTGACGGCACGGGTTATGGACTCTTTGGTTAGTTTTCCGGAGACGAGGTTGGGGAAGCGGGTTGTGAGCTTGGTGAATAGACTCAGGATGGAGATTTGCAGGAGCGAGTTTGTGTAGGCGTACAGTCGGTAGTTTGTCTCGACGATGATGAAGCCTTGTTGGGAGGAGCTGCGGGAGGCGGAGATACTGGAGAGGGAGTCAGAGGTAGAGAGGGCGCCTGCATCAGATGTGAGGGTGACAGCGAGACGCGTGGGGTAGAATGTTGCGGCGTTCTTGGAGGAGCGGTAGACGATGCCGAAGGCGGAAAGGTCTTCCAGCATTTGGAGTTGGGTCTCCGAGAGCGTCGAGGTGGTGTAGTCTTGGCCCAGTTCAAGGGAGCCGAGCATGAAGAGGAACGAGAGGACGTCGGTTTCGGACATGCCGAGCTACATATGGTGTCAGTTCCCGAACATATTGAGAGGAGGGAGGGCGCGCAACGGATCGCGGTACCTCTGGCGTATGCCTCAGGTAGACGATGAGCAGGCTCCACACCTGCGCATTCGTCTCCTGAAGCACAAACGTAAAACCCTCCCGTGTGATGCTGACCCGGCCGCTTCTAACCTGCACAAAGTTCCCCATTTCCAGGAGTTTCTTTGTGCCCAGGCCAATGTCCTGACTGAGCTGGGCCGAGCTGGCCAGACCAACCGTCGACCCCACCATGTAGAAGAGAATGTTCTCCCATTGCTTCCGCGCATATGCGTCCAAGAATTCCGTGTCGACTTTGTTTGGATCGGGCGTGGAGGAGGGCACGCCAAAGGAGCGGTGCGTGCCCCCGCCGGTGAGCGCCTGTCGCAACGAGTTCGCAAAGCCCTTGGAAAGCTCGTAGTGCATATGGCGAGTGGCATCTTGCTTGGCCTGTATGATGTGAAGCCGTTCGAGGGCGGAGAGGGCTTTGTCTTTGACACTCTTCCCCTCCGGTCTGAACCAGGCTTCCAGATCGACCGCCGAGAAGGGCGTGGGCATATAAAGCATGGCCATGACGATTGTCTTCGCTGCATGTTATTGTTAGGTGCCGCTCATATGCGTAAGCTTTGGGGGCCTACCTAAATGCGGCAGCATGCAGCGGAAGACGGCCAGCACCGTACTGGGCTGTTCATAGAGCTTTGTATGCGTCTGCCGCGGAAGCAGCACGAGGTATTCGTACGCCTGTTCAGACGAAGAGCCCGACATGGTGGCGGCAGTGCAACGTTAAGTAAGAGAATTACTATCGTGGGATCATCCTCTGTGGCAGCGCGTGGTGCGTGGTGCGTTGATCGTAAATCGCACGCGTGGAGTGAAAGTGCATGTGAGGTCAACGGAGGCTCAACACTGTACAGCACTTTACGCGGACTCGTGAAAGTGCGGAGCGGATAGCTTGGCAACGGCGCGGAGCCAGATGGTCGAGATTGCCGAGCGGAGCCCGATCAACCTCACTCTTCCATCAACCGAGGGCGACGAGCGATCCTATGCCTGCACTCAAGTTCGTGCGCTCTGTGAGTTGCCAGAAACGCATATTCTTGATTACAGCTTCTGATTGATGGCTTTGTAGGTCTGGGAGTCCTTTCGGGCATCTTCTGGCCTGGAGCCGAGGTAGCGACTTCACTGTTGATCTCATATTGCATGGACTGACAGAGTCAATCTCGCAGATTATTAGATGGGGTAATCACCTGCTATTTCTGCAAAACCATTCAAAATAGTCGAACCTAACATTCTCAGCTCCGTGTAACATCTGCCGTGCCGGGGCGCGTCAAGTTCGAGTTGGATATCAAAAAGGAGCACACTGTTCGTTCCTCACTGATTCATGAGTCTTCTCAAACTGACAATTCATAGAATCGTCTTAACATCCTCCATGGTGGAACTATTGCCAGCATGGGTACTGTCGCTCTTTCACCTTATTCATCCAAACACTACCCCTAACTGTTTGTAGTCGATTTGGGCGGCTCTCTGGCAGTAGCATCACGTGGTCTTTTCGCAACGGGCGTATCTACCGACCTTAGCGTGACTTACCTCAGCTCCGGCGGGAAGATTGGAGATCTCATAAAAGCCGAAGTTTCATGCGACAAATGTATGCTCGCTCAGTCTCCTTTCCCCTCCACTCAACTCATCCCCTTCTATGCAGTACTATGTTAATATTATTACAGTTGGAAAAACTCTAGCATTTACGAGCATCAAGTTCTTCAATGAGAAAGAAGAACTGTTTGCGAGAGGAAGCCACACCAAATATGTTGCTCTCGCCTGGAAAGATCCGAACAACATTGTGGAAGAGCTATCACCAAAGGTCGCAAAGACAGCCGAGAAGAAAGCTTGAGCATGGCGGTTGAAATTACCAATTTCCAGACATGGACTTGGAGTTCATGACAGCATGAAGACTCTGCTCGAAACACAAGGATAAATCAAGAGATCGCCACGCACTATAGCAATTGAACATATCAACTTGCCGCTGATGCCTCTCGTCATTTACCTTGATAGGAGAATACCAGTTCACACTTCACCACAGAGTGAATTTACAGCGCTGGCCAAAACTTGTTGACTTATTAACTTTGAAGCTTGCACAGCTTCCATTCTCGTAACGACGTCTATCTATATTGCGGCGCGGTCCAGCTCCGATCTCTATCCAGCAATGATTGTTCGTCGAGATTCATTTCATTAAAAGCAGGGCTTTCCCCAGCGTTCTCTATCGCGCAAGCATGAGATCTCAACAGAGCCTTGTAAACGACGCCATTCCAGTCTACCTAAAACCAAGACTCTCCTCCAAGAACTCATCCACATACTTCCCCGCATCCTCCTTCAAATTCGGCTGACCCACATCGAACGGATCAACACTCTCCTCAATCTCCCTCCCCCTCGCATTCTTTTCATCACCCCCTTCCCGCGCCTTCTCCCACGTCCACTCTCCAAAGACCTTGTCTGGATCTTCCCGAAAGTCTTCCCATGCATTCTCCGCGTCGATCTTATCAACCTGGTTAAGCGTCCATTCCAGCAACTTCTTGACACGCTCCTCCCAAATTATAACCTGCGCTAGCGTCGCTTTATCACCGATACGCTTCACCTGAGACGTAGTGGCGGAGTACGCGCGGTTGTGGGCTTGAGCCTTCTGATTCCAAGCCGCGTTCTTAGGGAGGCGAATCATGTAGAGTGGGTTCCAGCGGGCGGCCTCGATGATGATTTCGCGATTCTCGACGGAGATACTGACCTCCTCTAGATCCTTGCGGATCTTGTCGATGCGGTCGAGTAGTGTATTTCGAGGACGGGGAGGCGTTGTCTTTCCGTCGGCGTTGGAATCAGGTAATGCTGAGGAGTTCGGTGAGGATTGGGGCGGGAAGAAGTCTGCCCAGTCGTTGCTCTGCCCCCCCTGGTTAGCATGACTACTTGAGCTTGGGGTTGAGGACATGGTGGACTCGCTTACATCTACAAGCTTGAAGTGCTTGATAGTGAAGGGGTTTTGATGCGGTGAGAACGGCATGCGTGATATTGGGGTAAAAGATCGTGTGTGGACCCGGGAGAGACGCCCGATGATGGGTTTTGGTGCTGAGCGAGTATCCAGGAATTGGAACCAGTGGGGGAACCTATAATGGATTTGGGGCGTGTACCGCATTGTGTGAATGAACATTGTGTCGCTCCGATATAAGAACTTGAGAGTATGTGAAATTGAGGGCAGTGAAGGTATATCGCACAATGTTGAGTGAAAGTCTTACCAGTCGGCGACTTTCATGTAAAGAATGTTCGGGTATCAAGTTGGTTGAGTATTTTTCGCGTGTTTCTGCTAGCTAAATCCGATATCTGTAGATATTCAAAGAGCGATAAAGTGGGTTGGTTGTGAAAGGCATCTGGCCCGGAGAACCAAGCTACCTAGGTATGTAGACTCACGGTATTGCGGTCATGTCATGTACCAGAGGGTAACTCCTACCAAACCATCTCAGGGGCACCTTCAACCATGATCAAATCGCCACGCGGCCTACTTTGGTAGTGACTTCTGAAATCAAGAATGAATTTCTCAGAGCCACACACAACAACTATTATGACCACTATTTGCAACCAGATAATCCCTATCGTTTGCAGGGGTGAATCGGAGCATCTTGACATACTACGTTATCCGATAGAGCCTTCATTGCAATGCACCTATTTCGATACGTATGATGGGAGAGCACAATACTGAGTAACATGGGAGAAGACGATTCAATTGTTCAGGCACTCATATAACGGCAATGACGTGACCAGTGGTCTTCGGTGATCAAAATCCAGGCCACTTGGAATGGCTGTTGGATATAGCCATCGACAAGGGAGATATGACAGGTGAGCTTCTCTGGCACACAGAAAGCCTGCGATTTAACAAACTCTCATTCTGTACGTATCACCTCGCCAGTTCCTTTTGTCTTGACAAACATTAGCATCCTGTTATCGCACTTGACCTTCAGATGTCCCGTGTTACCGCAGGTACCAGATTCGTAGCAAAAAGAAGCTGCAAATATACAGACAAATATACGAGGTATCATCATCGTACTCTGTGTGCAAAAAGCAAAAAGAGAATATATCTCGACACCTGTGAGATTCGAACTCACGCTTCAGCTGTGTTAGTTACCTGATCAAGATGTTATGAAGTGCGGTTAAGCTCACCTCCCGAAGGAACGGGCTTAGCAGGCCCGCGCGTTAACCACTCCGCCAAAGTGCCTTAAGCATTGGATGTGGAAAATGTAGGATTTTATGTATATATACACTGTCAGTATGGGGGAGGGAGCTGATCGTGTGACTTCCACCCAAGAACTTCCATCCCTTTGTCCTTGCTCCACAATCGCGGGGCAGCAAACCGTCATACCACATACGAAGGTGGGGGAGATCTGGTAATTACCCCTCACCAACACCTGCAATCCTTCATTCTTAGAATACCGAACCGAGTAACCGAACAAACTTGCCGTAAGCTCCTAAGTCCGGAAGCCAGCGTTCCGAGAACTACAGTCCGTCTTGGAAGATCAAACAATCCTCCAGCATATCACGGCAACTATACAAACAAGCATCTTCCGTCCTTTTTCGCCGGACGTGTTGCCGTTCTGAGTTGAACGCACAAGGTGCCACGACCTACGCTAACCAACCTCAAAGCGGCATGTGCTGACCAGCAGGGGAACTTGCCAAGGCAGACTAGGTAATCGGCTAAGCTGTATGGTTTGACGTCTCTCACAATCTTGATATGTCTGGTTTGAGTATAAGATAGCAAACACATGCAGGATCAAGTCATCTCAGGAGTGGGAGATATCGGAGTTATCACCTATCACCCACGTTACACAAATCGGAGGTCTATAGCCGAAGATGGTGACTGGTGGTAAAGATGGGATCGGACAAGCGAATGTGAGCATGCGCAATGGTCCGTGGTGGGACGCGAAGAGGATCCAGGGAGATATTTAAGGCAGAAGCATTCCCGAAACCACTAACATCCAGAGCTAGTCAAGCATCCTGCCGCCTTCCCACTCTTGCACTTATTTAAAAACAATCCACTCTCAACTCTACAACAAAGAAATCACTGTTCAATCTCCCCCTCAATAACAACCCAGCAACAATGGCCAATCCGAATTTTGGAGCTCTTACGACCGCTGATGAGGTTGCGGACTACTACAAAGAGCAAATTAAGGGCAAGACTAGTAAGTACTTTCCCAATCTTGAATGTAAAGACTCCACTAAGTTCAAAAGTCATTGTGACCGGTGTCTCTGTTGGAGGCCTGGGTCTTTACACTGCCCAAGTTCTGGCCGTTCACTCCCCTTCTCTCATTATCCTGGCCGCTCGTTCTCAATCTTCCCTGAAAGCAGCTCAAGAGGCGCTCCAAAAAACCTCTCCTAATTGCGAGACGAAGCTCCTCACTCTCGACCTCTCATCTATCGGCAAGGTCCGCGAGGCGGCTAAGGAGGTCATTTCCTGGACCGACGTGCCCAAGATCGACATTGTGATTAATAATGCTGCAATCATGGCCACTCCCTGGAGCAAGAGCGAGGATGGGATCGAGCAGCAGTTTGCCACAAATCACATTGGAACATTCCTGTTTACCAATCTCATTATGAGCAAGGTCATCGCTGCCAAGGGACGCGTTGTGAATGTTAGCAGTGCGGGGCATAAGTACGGGCCAGTGCGGTTCGATGACATCAATTTCAAGGTGAGTTGAACTGCTTCCAACGCTTCTCGAATCAACAGGCGGCTGACATATTGAATTCAACAGGATGGAGCAGAGTACGATCCCGATACTGCTTACGGTCAATCCAAAACTGCAGGCATCCTCTACACCCTCTCCCTCGCTTCGAAACTCAAGGACAAAGGCGTGACAACCTTCAGTCTGCATCCCGGCGCTATCATGACAAACCTGGGACGTCACGTCCCCATGGAGGTCTGGGTGGAGAAAGGCTTTATGAATGCAGATGGGACTCAAAACAAGGACTGCAACGTGAGCTTCAAGACGGTTCCACAGGGCGCTGCGACTACAGTCACTGCGGCATTGGATCCGAATATCAAGGACAGAAGCGGTGCATATCTAGTGGATTGCCGTGTTGATCGCCAGGGAGACGGGTTTGAACAGGCTCTAGCTCCTTATGCCGTGGATGAGGAGAATGCTAAGAAGCTGTGGGATTTGAGTGAGGAATTGGTTGGGGAGAAGTTTGATTTTTGAGGGGCTATGAGTTGATCTGAGGCACTTTGGTTGTGGGCGCCCGCTTGGGCCCAGGTCATTTAGGAGTAGAGCTTTAGACGGGATGGTTTATATAGATGGAGTGGATGAGAAGTGCTATCTCCGAATTAAACGCCAGAGACAAGTTCTGCTTCCGCTCAAATTTCCGTCTCATTATCATTCACGGTACCAACCATTGTCATAATCAAGAGTTGTGCATATTCGTACATATTTGTGTGAAAACGTTTGTACATTTGGAATCCTGGGTAATCTCCCAAGAAGAATTACCCAGTAGAATTAAAAGTACAAGAATGAAGCATGGGAACAAACAGAACTCCAAAAGCATGTTACCTTTTTATGTAACTACCCAAAGAAAGAACAACATTAAAGAGCAAGGCGCAAAAAGGAAACTCTACCGCCTCATGCTCCCCTCAAATTCTTCTCAGAACTGGCGGACTGTCACTGGGGAATTTCAACCTTTCCACGCCCGCCTTAAACCTCAGCACCACAATCAGTGCAACCAGCAACCTCCTTGGTGCAACCTATGTGGAACCCGACCCATCTTTATCCTTTGGCGCCTTATCCCTCATAAACAATTGACTAAAGGATTTCGTGCCTGCCTTCCTCATTAACAATCGATCCGCAATGACCTTTCGGAAACTAGGCCGTACGCTGGTCTTCCGCTCTGTCGGGGTAGTGGGAGTCTGAGTCCTAGTTGAAGTCTCATTATTAACCTCGGTGTGTGCCAATTTGGGGAGATCGGTACAAGAGGAGTAGTGCCTAGGTCGTGGCCGCCACGGTCGGCGAGGGTGGAGGGGAGTGTTAGCAGAGGACCCTTCATCGTCGACATAGAAGGAGAAACGCTCACCGACCCGTACAGGAGAATCGAGATCAGGACCGATGACGCCATATCGACGGTTGTCTGGGAAGATAGTCTGAGGGTGGGTCCGAGTGCGAGTTGGAGCCTCGTTCTTGACCTCAGGAGCAGTCAAGGTAATAGAATCGCCACCGGAAGAGCCGAAGTACCCTGACGATGGGTTATGCTGACGAAACGGCTGGAGGAAATTGTTAGCGGACGACCCTTCGTCATCGACATAGAAGGAAAATCGCTCACCCACCCGGACCGGAGAGCCTGGCTGTGGCAGGTTCAGTGACTCTTCTCGCAGATCTAGCTGCGGTGAGGTCGGGGATGGAATGATTGGCCGCTTCATGGACTCAAAGCTGAAGCGTCGAGTATACTGAAAGCTTTTATCAGATGCAGCTACAGACAATGGAGACAGCCCAGGATGCCGGCTGCTCCGTCGGCTTGCTATCGAAGAGGGAGTGCTTGAACGGGCACGGACGACACGATCCACTGGCGACGACTGGCCTGGCCCTAGGAAAGTATCAATGCTGCGTCCACTGGAATTTCGTCGGATAGCTCCTGAGCGGCGAAGACTATCAGATGCCGTAGAGGAGACCGATCCAGTGAGAGAGGCTTCAGAGCTCTTGCGGTTTATAGTATGTGACACATATTTGCACCAAGTCTTAAAGTCTTTCGAAGCACTCAGGATCTCTTTCCCGTCGTCATTCAAAAGCCCATAAACTTCGCCGTTGTCCTGCATCAGATCGGCCAGAACCATGTTTGTCATTTGACCACAGACGACGCAAGTAGAAAAGAAGTGTTGGTACTCCTCAAGCAAATAGCCAGGAATGGCAATGCAAGTGTTGCACAAGATCCCAGTTGAGGGATACTGTGGACCTGAGCAATGTTCGTCCCGCTTAGGGTTCTGTGGCTCCTCATGGAGTGGAGTAACAAGCCTAGAAAGGAAATTCTTGCATTCGCTGCAGATGTGGCTGAAGCCCGCGGCAGACTCAAAGTCTTCCCTGAACTTTTTGCACGACTGACATGTAATCGCGAGTTCCTTTGATTTGTTGTCCGAGTCTATTGGTTGCGTCATCTGCTCTCGCTCAGAGTCCTTAGCAGTGACCTCAAATTGCAGTGGTCCAGAGTGCTCACCATGGGGGTATTGAGGGAGAGGATTTGGATCTTCAGCTAGTAGACGACCAGCAAGAGTATTGAGTTGCGAAACTGGGGAGATCCTCTTTCCATTCTCATTGCGTGCAAATCGTGGATTGATCAACGTGACATTGTACTCCGGATGGCGCGAAGTACCCAAGACCTTGATGGAGGGGGTTTGTGATGTGCCGGCCGCCATAGGGTCAAAGGAAGCCATCTTGCAATAGAAACCTACGATCTCAGCGTCTGAGCGAACGTGGATCTTGATGCAAGAGGGTTTGAAGAAGGAAGAGCTCATCGATGAGGATGTTTATAGCGTTTGGGTAGGAGAATCAAAGACATTGTGAGGGAACGGCACTGGTAACATCTTGGAGTTGAGATTGCACAATGTGCATTGAGGTATCGTGTAAATAAGTATCTGCAAACCCTAGATGGTTGGACAGCAAGATTCATCGCTGGTGCTATACAATCTCAGAATCAGGATCCTTGTTTTCCGAGGTCTTTTGAGGAGAGTGTTGCTTGGAGGCTGAAGACTACCGATCTCATTGTGTGATAACGAGGAAGCCTCAGCCTCATTCTGCATAGGAACGTGACAACTACCTCGAGAAGTAACCGGGATCTAATGATGGTCAGTGAGAATTCAAATGCCTGTATATAGACACCAAATACAATTTGAACTCATCTAAGACGTCGTGTGTCCTCGTTCGCCAAACACAGGTGATGAGGAGCCCTATCGGTATATCGTGTAGTCAATCTTAGCCACTTTCCTTCTCTCTGCTCTTCATTTCCTTTTCTACCTCCTCCACTCTCAAAGGTACCTTCCTACCCGCCCACTTCCGCTTTTCCTCCTCCGCAAAATTCCCAACGCTCAACATGCCCACAACAAGAAAACCTAATTCCTCTCTGTCCGTATCGAATACCTCCCACCATTCCAATTCTGGTAGCATGATTTTCGTTTCCTTGGCTGCAAGATATATGGCCGCAGTTGCCAAGCTGGATGGTTGGTGTGTGAGATACAGTAGCTGAGGG